ATAATTTGTGCAAATAACTTCGCGTAAAGATTATCTAAACATATAACAGTAGGATTTCGATCAGAACGACAAATAGTGGTTACGAAAAGAGAGCATTTATTCACTTTCCCCGTGAAGGAATTTAAAAGCATTTTACACTCGATTACGAGGTTTGCCCACCTATCTGTCCATTCCTAGCGCCTGGCAAGCGATTATCAGCTGGCAGCCCATATGGGCTGCCATCGTCCCAGGAGCACATGCTTGTTGGCAGCCCATATGGCGCGTGAATGCGTTAAAAACACTCAGTTTATGGTATAACGAAGGATTTGGGACACTAGAAACATTCAAGACGGGAAGTTTGGGGTGGTTTCCACAGTTTTTCTTCAAACTCATCGAAGGAATTCAACTCCAAGTGTGAAGAACGGATAGATTTTGATGACGTCATCGAGCAAGATTGGTGGAAGGGGTTTGGAAAGTGGTCCCAACAACATCTCCAACGAGATGAAGGTCTCGGTCTACCACTGTCGTCCAATGACGTTATGAAAAAATTCATCATCCAGCCTACACTACTTTTATGAGTTGATAGATTTTTGGCCACGCCTCTCGGGATGACCACGCCCCTCCTTGTTCAATACTTACGATTAGGAGCATGACATCACCACTACATTCACCATATCTTCCTTGGAGCTTCATTAGTCGGAATGTCTACAAAGTGTCAACTGACTATGCTCATTTATGGTAATAAAGGAACCTATTCAGTGGTGACTATCAAATTATTTAGATTATGTCAACCAAGTCATCACTGCGAAGCAATGAGCGGCTCTCACACTAGTGATGATTTGCTCCATTATATAAAGGAGGCAAATGGGGCGGCGCTGCATGGGAGGATGGTGCTATTAGTTATTCACAGCGCCTCATGCAGAAGGAGTTGTCCTGGCACCCTACCCAACACTTTTGACTTCTCAGTTCCTCCTCACTTCAACGATGTCTTGAGGCACTTCAAAAACCAATGGCCTCGTCCTCTCCACGAATATCGTTTTCGCCTTGAGTTTGAGACCCCTAGGAGGTTGTAACTAAACATTCACGGTTGTAACTAATAACATTCCCCCTTCAGGTTACATCGAGTTTTGGACGGTGGAATGCCAATGGAGTCACTTTAGTTTGCCAGTGGTATTTTTAAGGAAATGGTTTTCTCAGACTCAGAAGAATACTGCGCGCAGATTTCTATTCTATTTTTCCAATTTTTCTATTTTGTACAAGTTTCTCGCTGATATTTCTTTTCCTTCCTGAGAAATAGTTTCGTGCATATACATATTACCCTCTTTCCAAAGGTTATTATTGGGGTGAAAATGTATTTTATGGGGGCCACTCCAGTGCGCCTTCCATCTTTGACACTAAAGATAAAGCGAGAATACGAGCGTTATAACGTGCAATAACAACAAGAAATGGGGACTTTTGAAAATGATCTGAATGATAATGGCTGAAAAATCAACTTGATCGGGGGTCGATACCAACCGTTTTATCCATAAGGTTAGCATCATAGTTGTTCGTAACGCTAGAACGCAGAGCACAACAAATTTCCCCCGTTCGGCTCCATTCCACCATATATTAGCCCTGTAATATTGTCCCAGCCTCCTGAACAAATAGCCACTTAGTCGCTCGAGGAGCCTGAAGGATAACGGACCTCACTTCCTGAGATCCTCGCCCCTTCATCGGTGGCCCACGGTCCTAGGCTAACTCATTAGCTCTGGGTCAGGTGCGTGCAAAATCGGCTACTAATAGTCTCGAAAGTTGTATGCTGATCAAGAAATCAAGATTTCGTCGTGAGACTATTGCGGTCTTGCAAGGTGGAATTCGCTTCTTTACGGCCAAATGTAAGCCCCAGAGTTTTTCTGCTCACTTCATCTCTGCTCTATTTCATACATTTCTCTAGCTCACTTCCAATTGTAAGTTGTTTGATCCTTTTCACCTCTTTCCCTTTTTCTTCTTATTATTTTCTGGCTACGCCACAAATCCCTGTCATAATTTGTACGGTTTTTTTTTCGATGTACTAAATAAACAGACAAGTGAAAAAATAAATGAACAGATACGAGGAAATTTCAAGTATTTTTTTTTTTTTAGTTTATGTTTCCCAGCTATCAAGATTGGGATTCATGAAGTCCCCCATTTTTGAAACATAAATGACGAGCATTGCTAATAATAATAATATAAATACAAATAATAATAAACAATAGCTAGAAGAAAAATTTTCCTCACGGGGGAAAAAATCAGGTCCGAAAGGGTTAAAGCTCATTGTTCCGCATTTTTTGTTCTACGACATAATTCGCGGCGCACTATGTAATTTTACAAGTGCAGATCGAAACAGTCCTTCTATTTCGAATGAGGCAATCCGTAAGAGCGCCTGACGAACTTATGGTTAGCAGTTTATGTCCTCGTTTCAGAAAACCTGTTCTCCCATGAAAAACACTGGTTTCGCACACTTGTGAAGATGTTTTTTGGGAGCGTGAGACCCAATTTCTGCCTTCTCACCCACTCGCTTATCTTCCCTTTCTAGAGCTGACTGCGCAATTTGTTTAATTCAGATATTTTTTCTAACAGCTGTTTTGTCGCTATTTCGTGAGTATTGATCAACAAATAGAATAATGGTTCTGGGAAACTTATCGCTGGGAGCTCCTTGACTGTTGTCATACTTCTTCGTCCGGAGAAAAATCTACCACCTTGCTCCAGCTACTTTAAATGCCCTCTGCATAATGGAATAGGGTGATTTCCTGTGCTGATTCACTAAACCACGAGCAATATCCCCCTTGCTTTGTCAGAAAATCAATGCCTATTTCTCCTGTGAATATATTAGCCAGCCCTGGCTCTGAAGGGCTTTTCCACTGCTTGGAGTTTTCTCGAAAAATCGATCCCATTTCAAATTTACCCTCCCGTCTGTGTTCAAACATTTACGGCTTTTATGGTTCAAAGCAATCTATAATTAATTATAAGAAGGATTAACTTATGCAGATTTCTTCCATAGCAGGAACCTTAACCATGAATGACTGAATGAAGCGGTTGAAATCTACTTTGTGATTTCTTAAGTGATTTGCTTTCCATAGAAGTTGTTTGTCTCCGAACGTCAACATTGACTTGCACCTACTCGCTTCGCTATTTTCTTTTATTTGGATTTCATTCAATCAAATCCTGACACGTACTCTATCAGGTTTATGGAATAGAGCACAGAACTTGTCAGTTAAGACCAGCTTTGAGGTCCATCTGAAATAGTTGATGAATGACCTGTTCCGGGATCAAGAGAAGGGAAGCTTATCTGGCCAAGAGGGCTCTAGCTGCGGACGAAATATCGTGAATTTTTTTTGACTTGAAAAGGAGTTTTTGTGAAAACTGGAGAAATATCGGAAACCAACTAAAGTGGAGGGAGGGCCGGATATCAGAAATCGGACAAACATCACGTCTGATCCTGCTTGGGTCAATCTGTCCGAGAAACCGACTCGGGAATCTGACATCATCGTAGAACGGTAGCCTGCGATGTTGACATTAACAATTGAATTGTATGGTTCTTTGTACCATGCACTGCTGATAATTGGAGCCTTCATCTACTGGCGTGACGTTTCGACCTGTGCGTCTTCTTAAAAGGAGAATTTACGATGAAAGTTGGATCATTGGAAATCAGGGTAGAGGTAATGAAAAGGTAGCGTTTTGGAAATAAGGGTAGAGATGGCAGTGGAGCAGGGATGAAGAAGAAACCATTTGAAACGGCCCGAAACCCGAGAAATGGGACCCCTTCCTTGCCCGTTGATTTGCGCATTGATGCGACTCTCATCGCTGTGCCCTCTTCAACACTACGCTCTCTCTGCTATCTAATCACTCGCCACGTATAGACCTGCGGCGAGTGATTAGATAGTCGGTGGGCGTACCGCCAACCGCGCCAAGAGTGAGCCATGCTAGATCGCCGAGGTCAAATCTTTCGCTGCCAATTGCGCGTCGGTCAGCACCCTCAGGAGGTCCGCCTGTCTCCCACCTATGCAATTTTCCCCTTTCTTTGACCTTCGTTCTTAGTGAATTCCACCTGCAGCATTAGCTCATGTTCTGTAAGTAACGTTAGTTTGAGCAAATCCTCGCATTACTGGTGTGCTTTGGTTTTGAAGAAGACGAGAACGCCTACACGATAAGCTAATAAATAAAGGTCCCAATTATCGTGGCACAAAGGAACTGAAAATTTGACTAATAATGCCGAGATTTCAACAGAGGATGTAACAGACATGGAGTCTGTTGACCTTATCCGCTACAAAATGATCGCAGATGTGATTCATGTCAGCCACGGCGAGTGAAAACTGGAAAAAAAATTTCCAGGCAACCATGGGCGATCTTCATTATTCAATAGGCGCAACAAAGCACCGAGTTGAAATTCGTGAATTTCTTATGAATCACTTTTTAGTGGAGGAAACGATGAATGCGGTAAGTTTTAGTTTCTTAGTTTTACATAGTTTTCTTTTTTACTTTCTTTTTACATTAGTCGACTCTGCACTGACATGAGCGTTTATTTCACGACCACCTATGGGGGAGGGGCAGTTGTTGTTGTCGGCATTGACTGAGGCGGATGGTTTGGTAGAATTCGCAACTTTATAGACTGGAGCCGACAGTCCACAAAGTTGTCTCATTGGTCGGCTCGGGACTGATCTGTGGTGTGGTGGTGCATGTTGTTGCCTTGTCTCTCCATTCCATTTTTTCTTCATCGGTTCGCCCTCGTCCAAGCGCCTATGTTCTTTGCCCAAAGCTCATACAACGCACAACGCTTGCTGAAGAAATAGATTAAGGATCTTTTGTTTAGTTCCTTCCTCGTCAAGGGGATAGTTTGCAGCTGAATTTTTTCTGAATAGTTTACATTTAGCGATAGTTAAAGGACGAATTCACGATCAGAGGGAAAATCGAATTAGGAAGAATTCACCTGGTTGAGGGACCCGCGGAGCTCCTAAGTGTGCGAACTGAAGCACAATTTGCACAGGAGGAGTTGACCTCGTTGACCTATTAACACATTGACGACCGCGCGCGTTTTGGCTTTTTTGGCCGTGTGGGACCGGGCCGATTTTGCGAGTGCGACCGCCGCACCTCGGATCCGTGAATTTTTATTGATAACTTTTTAAAGCACCAGTGGTACAAAAACATCTCAGTAACAGTCAATGCGTAGAAGGTAATAGAGTATATAGTGACGAAGTTCCGATTAAAGAACATGTAATGGTAATGAAAAAGGAAACTTTAGTCATTTTATCTGTAGTGGATGCCAAAAGCTCTTTTGATGTGGTTATACCAAGTGAAACATGTATTTTTCTGTCTCTTTAGATTTGCATTTACTTTCACTACCCTTTTTTATTGACGTGTTCATGAGAATAGCATGAAAACTATTAATGAACCAAGCCGCCGGTTTCGGTGAGCTTGGAAAACTTCTTCTAAACTGGAGCATATTTGAACAAACAATGACCTATGTCGTTCACAATAATGTTATGTTCTAATCCATAGAAGAGAGACAAACAATTCGGGAAAAAGCTGCGCATGCCCTAGAAAAAGGGATGATAAGGGTGAGACGCGGTAACGCGTCTCAATGTCCAACGAGGTGCGCAAAGTGAGACGCGTTACCGCGTCTCAATGTCGTCAATGTGTTAAGGTTTAATCCCGCCGCGGCTGGTCAGTGCACGCCCACCGATCATCTGATCACTCGCCGCAGGTCTATACGTGGCGAGTGATTAGATAGGTGAGAGAGCGTAGTGTTGAAGAGGGCACAGCGATGATAGTCGCATCAATGCTCAAATCAACGGGCAAGGAAGGGGTCCCATTTCTCGGGTTCTGGGCCGTTTCTCATGGTTCTTCCTTCTTTCGTGTACCACTCACCATCCCTAGGTTAATTTGAAATGGGTTGCTTTTTCATCGTGAATTCGTCCTTTAAGTGCGCCAAGCTGGAGTAGCATGTGTTACTGGTGTCTTAAACGAGGATTTTACGATATGAACGAAGGTCAATTAAAGGGGAACTTGCGTGATGAAGAAAGAGGCGGGCTTTGGACCAACACACCAACTCGAATGATATCTTCCGGCGAACTGGGATGACCTTCCCTTCGACGTGACTGGCCCGGAGGGCGTGCACCTTTAGTCTAAAGTGTAATTATGGGGAGACCACCTCGCACCTACACTCACTTGCCTGTGGGAAGACCTTGTTAATTGCACTGAGTTGTCTGCTGACCTCTTCCTCTCAGACTCAGTATCGATCATTTGAATAATGAACTTTATCACATAAACACGGTTCTAAATTGCGGATTAAAGAGAAACAATAAACGAAAACAAAAACAGAAATTACAAAACGGGTCAGTGAGCTTAAAAAGCTAAATAGAGTAAATTTGATTGAATTGTTACGATTTTATTGCTGAAAAATTGATTGGTGAAATACGTATGGAATGAAGCGCTTATTGCACCATTTGACCTTTTTTCTTCTGCAGTTTAACTTGAAGAAGATAGCGTGAGATTTACCAAATTTTGTGGAATCTTATGGTCTTCGGGTAGCAGAGAGAGCGTTAGTGTTGAAGAGGGCACAACGATGAGAGTCGCATCAATGCGAAAATCAACGGGCAAGGAAGGGGTCCATTTCTCGGTTCTGGGCCATTTCACAGGTCTTCTTCAAATGATCACTTTCAGGCCACCAGTATCACTGAAGACGAATTTGCACCGTTCGCCGACACTGTTCTCGATACATCATTGCGGAAACCGCTTTCCGTTATATGCCGAGCTGGTGAGACTCAGGAAAAAGTTTTTTAGATAAAGATATCTAATCTGGACCACTGAATTAGAATGACAGGTCAGCAAATCAGGTACAATTTATGAATGGAAGATCATTAGTAATAAATGAAAGACGTAGAGTGACGGATCCATAGGTGCACTCTTGCTCTAAATGGAGCAACCTTGCCTCTACGCTATTGCCTGACAGGGATTGGCCAGAACATGAGTTCGATGCAGATTACGGTGTACCGATGTGATGAGGAAACTAGTTGATCCAAACTCTCAGTTGGAAACCAAATGAGGGACCTCCGTCTCTAGGTTCTATGTACATCTATCCTCTTTCCATCCTTCCTGCATCTACAAGTGATCTTATCTTAAAAATGACTCAAATGAAAAATTTGAGGTGCGGGGGGTTCATGTTACTATACGCAGCAGTAAAAATAACAAAATTCCAATTTGGTCTTCAAAAAGACCGTAAACAACAGGATCCCATGAAAATTCTCAAGAACTTTTATTACATGTTTCCAAGAAGCCCCTACAGCGAACTAAATCCTATATCTTTTCTTGAAATATACAGCTAATTCGACACCCTTCCCAAAGAGTGGAATACGACCCCCTTCAGAAGAATCCTGGATGTTGGTCAACTTGGTGTTGGCGCGGTGCTAGTGCGTGCGCTTCAAGCGTCTCCACATATCTATAGATTTCCACTGAAATGTGTTGTAGTGAGAGCTCCTTATCGAGACATCAACTTCATAGGAGAATCGTCGTAATATACTACTTGGTGGCATAGTTTCTACGCCCACCGCCAACCTTAAAGGAATCTTGCGCGGAAAATTCTTGCACTCTTTCCTAACATGAATATGTCAGTTGTGATCACTGGAAATAGCACACAAAGTTTCACGCATGAAGATTCGGTTTCTGAAGAGAAACAAACGTACAAAAACTACACGTTATGGACCATCGAAGGACCAGGAGGCAGAGCCAGGCGAGGCATGGAAAGAAGACGGCGTTTGGCCGGCTACGTACCAGGCGACGCAATGAGAGAATCGGGTTAAAGCGCGCGATTTCGGAGAGTGGAGACAAATCGATCGATGGAATAGGATGGAGTAGAAGTGTAAGATGTGAATGCAACGAAGCAGAAGGCCAGAAAGAGCTTCTAGTGAATGCACTCCAAGAACCAAGTTTGAGCATCCCCGTCGCCAGCATTCGTGAAAGACGTCCGTGGGCAATTCGAACGCGTAGCAGCCTTTTCGAGTTTTCGAATTTCTAATCAAAACGAAAGCAATACTTCAGTTCTTTTCACTATTATCGTGGATAATGAGTCTCAAGCCAGTGATTTATGGCTGAAATAGAATCATGATTTTTCCGCGCAAGATTCCTTTAAGCTCTTCCTCATTTCGTTCCTTGATAAAGGAGCTGGTGATGGCGGGTGCGTTGCAATTCTCTTCCTCAGTTCAGGTCACCCGAAATAGTGACACCACTCATTTGCTCGAAGCAAGCTTATGGTTAGCATTAGACCTGGTTTCAATTGTAGGCTTGAGCATAAGCCAATGTGTTTGCATAAGCCTAAACCTCAGCCTAAACCCAAGCCTAACCTTAGGCTTCAAAGATAGTGCCGCTCTTGTAACCTGACCTCAGAAGAAGAACTGAGCGTCTCCTGGCGTTATTCAATGCATTCTATTATATTTTATTTCGATATTTTTCATTTGGAAATGTTTTTATTTTAGGAAATGGTGAGATCGTTGGTGTCGCTTTGCACACAATTCATCGACGTGGTGAGCCTGTAAATGCTGAACCGTTAGGGAACAAGGCCAAACGTCCCCAAATCGACGCCATAGGTAATGTTGTTTCGAGGCGAAACTTTCCAGCCTACTTCTTCTTCTGCAGCTTCACTCGCTTACACAAGGTCAAACTTTTCAAAAAGAACAGCCACACCTGTTCGCTCTCGCGAAATCAATATGCATAGTAGTGTTCTCTGTACTAACGAACTCTATTTCTTTGCGATATTCCTCTTGGACTTGAACTGCTCGCGGATAAAAATTACCTCCTCTCAGAGGTCCTCCGCAGGGTCAACCGTCCGTTGGACAAAGTCCAACGCATGGCTCTCTAGCGTGTGAGAGTAATGCCGAGAGTGAACGTACGCACGGAGACACAGACGGCTCGCGCAAGGCGAGTGCGAATGCCGGCGCGGAGAGCGGTCAACGTCGGTCCAATGTCGGTCCAACGTAACGGTTGACCCTGCCTCGCGTGACAAGTAGCTTTGGTTGCAAAAAACCCATGATCTCGTTGAGCAGGGATGTGGGAGCAGGCGTCGGTTTACGGGCAGAGTATGGCGGATGCTTTAGATAGTAACATATTGGAAATGAAAAAATAAATAGATAGACGCAAACATATAATAAGGCTAAAGGAGTTAGAGGAGTTCGGCTCTGACCAATATCTGATTGGGATGCGCCATGCATTCTACTAACATAGGGAATCTTGGGGCTATTCTGAAAGCGATTTGAATATAGGGCTATTCCGAAAGCAATTTGAATACAACATTGAAGACAACGGCTTGGGAGGGCAGGCCGATGAAAATCGTCCTTTTCACCCATCTAATCAAAGACGAGCCCAAGGATAACATGGGTGTGTTTTAAAGTTCAATAATGAAGCTGGAGGTAGGTGAGGGTTTGGAAAAGAACAAATGAAACCTGGTTACGCACAAGCCCACTCTCTTTCAGCCGCATTCCACTCTGGGATGAAAAAAGGTGGTGCGGGAGGGGGCGGGGGAGAGGTATGAACGAGTTCCACGAAGGCTACTTCCAGTTGCTCCACTGCCAGTGAAATTGAGTGTCAGTGACGCAGCCGCAACTGCAGCCGTGCTCCTCTCGCAGCGTCAGCATGACATGTGACAGCAGGAGGCGGAGATTGCTAACGAAGGTGTGAGTCGAGCACACCTTCGTTAGCAATCTAGGCCTTGTAATTCGCCCGCTTCTAAGCCGCAAAAAGGGGGCACAGTTAACGGCTTATCCACGCCTGTCTACCACAGTTCAGAGTATAGCATACATGAACGCTGTTAAAGGCAAGATTCGGATAAAATAGGTGTGGAAAAGCGTTCAGTTATGAAGCTATAGGTGGGAGGTGGTCTGTAAAAGAGAAGGAAAGCAAACGAAACCACCGATTACGCCCCGTACAGAGACCTCCCCTATTTCAGCCACATTCCACCTTGGATAGAGAAGAGGCGAATTGGACGAGTTTCACGAACCTAACTCTACTTGCTCCAGTGTCAATAACATTGGATCGCGCTGGGACCACTGCCTCAAATGCGCCCGCGCTTTTCAAGCAGCGCCACGTGGCAACCGACAGCGAAGGGTGGGGCTTGCGGACGAAGGTGTGAGTTGCGGGTTGGACGAGCTCCTTGCGCCTTTGTCGCGGACTTTCACAAGAAAGGGAAAAAAAAAAAAGGACCCGCAGAAGGGGCCCGACATCAAACACTTCGTCCACCTGCTACATAGGCTTGGATGGGAACAGGCGAGAGCCCGACCGACTCGCGGAGCGTGCCGCTTAATCCCGGACCGAATCCTAAAATACGGAAGGCTTAGTTGACCTGGATTGCGTACGGCTTAGGATTTGAACCTTGGACCGAGCGCATGTTAAACAGCGCTTCTTCCTACTAAATCACTTCGGCCTCCTCACCCCCCCCCCCCCCCCCCCTTTTTTTTCCTTTGCGCTATGACCTCCAGAGAACCAGTGCAGGCCACACACTACAAGTGACGACGGCCTCCACAAAATATAATTGTTTTCTGCCAGTGAAGCGATTATTCGGTCGGAGTTGTATTTTATCAAATGTCTCTAATTACAACTATCATTCACCAACTATCAACTTTCACTATGAATCACTAGTTATCAGAATCACTTGGAGGCCGTCGTCACTTGTGTTGTGTTGTCCGCACACTCCTACCCTAATTTCCGGTAGATAAGCCCGCGCCAATATCACGTAAAAACACCTCCGCTCGTGCAGTGTAATTTTGTACACCTTAGAAACCACCGTAAATTTGCCTATAGGGTAATTCGATGCCCTGATTACGAAAATGACTTTCATTTTTAGCGGTGGCGCCATCTGGCGCCAGTTGGCGTCCACCTTGTCACGACACTGTTTTCACCAAATTCGGTGTAAACTTCCGTATAGGGGTATTTGGTGTCCTGATTACGAATATGACATTCAAATTAACTCTATGGGCAAGCGGCTGCCTCTAGATATTCTAAAGCGCACTGCATCAGCGGAGGTGTTTTTACGTGACATTGACGCAGGCTTACCTACCAGAAATTAGGGTAATTCTTCGAAAAGGGTGCATATAGTGAATGACTATAATTGCTTTTCAGCTTCGATATGCAATGAATGTCATAAAGACGTGTGGCAAATACTCGGACCGGAAATAAATACAGTGCTCGAGCTGTAAGCCTCTTCGGGTTTTTCTATTTTGGCAATCCACGGGAATTCATTTTCAGGGATATTATTAGTGTAGCCGAGCAGTATCAACGGCGAGGCATTGCGAGAAAAATGCTGGAGAAATGTCAATCACCGCAGGTGCTCAAGGTGATTCCGTTCGGTTATTAGCTAGACATTCTTTTAATTTTGGAGCAGAGTCAGAAAAAAATGACACTGCCTGAGGGCCAGCTCAAGTTTCATCTTCTAGGCCTCTATAAGAAATTCTGGAACGCAAATTGATAGAAGTATTAGGTAAGGTAGTCTTTATCGCGGCAGTTAAAACCTGAGTCACCGTGCACGCGGCTGCATCACGGTTTATCTCCGTTGCGTCGGCAGTGCGCGCAAAACGGCTTTGCCGTTGTGCTGCCGCAATCGGAATCTGATGACCCATATCCCAGATGAGTAAAGGGTAGTGTACGCTTCTATCCACGTCTTCAGGTTGGATATGAACGAAAACGTTGGGACTGTTAAAGGACGAATTCACGATCAGAATGAAGGTCGAAGGAGTAAACCACCCCTAGTTGAGGGACCCGCGGACTCTTAGGTGCGGACTGAAGCGCGATTGGCACCAAGGAGTTGACTCGGCGACTTATTAAGGCTCAGTCTTGGCGCGGTGGCCAGTGCACGCCCACCGACTAGCTGATCACTCGCCGCAAGTCTATGCGTGGCGATTGATCAGATACGGAGAGATCGGAGAAGAGTGGATGAAGAGGTCAAGCATGAGAGGTCCAATCTATGCGCAAATCAACGAACAAGGAAGGAATACCACTTCGGTTCGCCGTTTCTCATGGCACTCTTCCTTGTTTGACCATCCCATCCTAGGTTAACTTGGAGTTGGGTACTTCTTCATTGAATTTCGTTCCCTTTGAGTTCAGGTATGGGATAATTGCAATTTAAAACAGGACGTTACGCAACCAGAAGCGTCACAACGTTCCGTTTTTATTTTTGAAGCAACTTTTTTCTGAATGAAGGAGAGCATGCTAGCGCCCAGACCTTCGCCTCTCGTCGCTCATAGCAGCGCAAGCAGTAGAGATTAGGTCGTGTTGCGAAGCCCTCCGGCTTCAGGCTGCTCGCACTTTTTGCTCGAAGTGCGGAATGGAAGTCTTCGACGACGTCTCTGCATTTTGTGTTGCAATTTTAATTCTAGCGGGATTCAGCAACTTTAAAGGAGGAATTCACGATTAGAATGAAGGTCGAAGAAAGGGAAACTGACCTAGTTGAGGGACCCACGGACCTCCTGAGGGTGCGAACTGACGCGCAATTCGCATGGAAAAATTTGACCTCGGCGACCTATCATGCCTCAAAGCTGGCGGGTCCGGCGATCTCCGCCCACCGATCATCTGATCACTCGCCGTAGTTCAATACGTGGCGAGTGATTAGATAGCTGAGAGAGCGTAGTGTTGAAGAGGGCACAGCGATGAGAGTCGCATCAATGCTCGAATCAACGGGCAAGGAAGGGGTCCATTTCTCGGGTTCTGGGCCGTTTCTCATGGTTCTTCCTTCTTTCGTGTACCACTCACCATCCCTAGGTTAATTTGAAATGGGTTGCTTTTTCATCGTGAATTCGTCCTTTAAACATAATATCAGGAGCATAGCATTCAAGGAGTCGTCACTCAAGCAACATCACACGCGAATCAAACACTACTGAAAAATCGAGGACATACGGTATTTCACTGTTCAATTTAACCTACATTTTTATAAAATTCCCTTATTTCACTGAACAATGTCTCACGCGTGCATCGGGATGTCCAGTGTCTTCCATTCAACATCAAGCCCACAAAATTCGTTGAACGGTTCCCCTTCTTGCCTTCAACCTTCCTTGCGGTGTGCCCGGCTACCCAGTTGATCCGCCTCACTCATGAACACGAAGCGTTTCATTAGTTTCTCTCAGAACTTTCGAGAAGTTCCGCCCACTACGCCGGCGATCGTTAGTGTTTTTTGACATGCAAAATTAAGCCCATCATCTCTCCGACCCTTCGAACCTCCCTACATGATTCGGCCCATGGCCCCATGACGTTCGATTGCTTCGCAAATGTGGCAACATCGCTGTTTTCTGATCCTCGACTGAAATTTTGGATTCCCTCGCGTGTATCGAGATATCCCATGATAGCAGTCATCGTTGTCAAATTACTTTTTCGCGAAAATTGGTGACGTTGAAGTGTTGGTCCACCCACGTAAGCCCCGGCGGTCACCGAAACACCAGGGATGTGCGACATGCCCCCTTAAGGATGGGAAGATAGGGATTTCTGACTTTAACCTTAACAATGTTTTTTACGAATTGATTGCGAAAATCGGGCATTTTACTACTCAGACATGACCAGTGTTAGCGTAAGTAAATCCTAAAAGTTTCAATTTTGCTGCGTGGTCCAAGAGTAGATCCGTCAAATTACGCGTGGAGAATCCTCTCTAGGCGCCAAGGGTTAAAGTCTACAAGTGACAGATCACAATTCAATAAATGCCAGAATGTGTTGATGTGGGCATACATCGTTAATTATCAGCCTCAAGTCTGTCACTTCTTGCCTACATGCTGGGGCGATGTCACAAACCGTTGTCCGGGCAATGACTTTTGCGCATTGGGGGCCGAACGATAACCTCTGCTGTTGTAGTCGGAATTAATTAAAAACAATCTCAGTAGGGCCATCCGCAAGCTGCACATCTCCGAATTACGTCTTACTCGGCAGCTCATCCGCCGTTCTTCTGGTGGAATCCAGCCTGGACAAAAGTGGAAAAAACGACCTCCTGGCACGCAAACCATTCCTTTAGGTTCTATCAAACAAAGCTGCTCTCATACAATATGAGTATATCCTTAGAGCTGCGTGATCCAAACGGAAGAGGCTGTGCTGATGCAACACGGGACAGTTTCACCTGCATGGAAGGCAGATGTTATTCCTCACTGTCGTTCGGGCCAAAGGAGACCGCAGCGAGTTTTGGGGTCGTATTATGGTTAGCTTGTTCATCACCTCCGTGTTCATCGAGTAAAATTTGTGCTGGTATCCTTTTCCTCCTTGGTATAGCCGCGCTTTTTCATGCGGTCAGGACTTTTGTCGCGCCCGTATGAATTCAATATTGGGCTTATTATTTTATTTCCACCTCTGTTTAGGTTCTCAAGGAAGTGCCTTTCACACGATATGTTAATGACCGAGGTTCGCCTCTGATCAAACCACTTGACGGCACACAATCGGTAAAACTCTTCTGGAAATCCAACGAGTTATTTTGAAAACGCTTTGTGTATGTATAGTACAGTATAAAAATTTGATGTCAGATATGAAAGGCACTTTCGAATTTTTTTTCAAGACCATTACAAAATTATTAACATTAAAATTTTGAAGGCGCGCATTGACGCTTTCTTCGAAGAGGTTTGGTAATGTTACGAACTCCCTCAAGTTTCACGCCATTTCCGATTTCCGGAAAATTTCTTCCGCCGAGTCACAATCCTTGTCGGCACTTAAAATTGCAGTCGAAAGGTACAGCTTTGCAAGAACCTCGGCATGATATATTGATGGCTGATATCTTCTGTAAGCTCTCCACGAGGTTGTTAGGCAGACTTTATTGGTTTTGTTCTCGAATTTCAGTAGGATAGCGGAGGCGTTTGGTCGGGTAGTCATAAATTGCTTCGATCCTTTCAGGCTCTGAAGAAGGCGACCCCGCCGAAACGTAAGCCAATAAAGTCTGCTTAACAACCTCGTGGAGAGCTTACAGAAGATATCAGCCATCAATAAAATTGCAGCCAGTATTGAAAATGTCTAAACTGCTAAATGCACTGTCAGAACGACATACACTGTCAAGGAGTACTTCATAGTCTTCAGTGCTAACTAGTGGCCAGGGTTACATGTGAAGTTGTTGCGATGGTGGTATGGGCGTTGTGCTTACGCAGTTAACTAATCAGAGGCGCTCTGCTGACTTTCCACAAGGAAAGGATCCCAGGTCGCCATGGTCCATTCCAAGAAGAGATGGATACGCCTAGATGTACTTTTGAACGCTGATCTCAAATCTCCTGCCGTGTTGTACTGTTTCGCTTTTCTTAAAACATGGCAACGGCTTTCAAGAACTTTGTCGCAAGGAAGCTCAACAGTAAACACGCTGTGAATCCCCACTACTACCTTTGATAAATGGTCAACCATCGTGTTCGGCTGATATCAAAATTTTCCACGATCCCACCTCAAGGGTATTCTCGATACGACCCTTCCCACCACCATCCGCCCCTCTGAAGGAGGTCATTCCGCGATCGCGAACACGACCTCCTAACCGCTCGCTCCAACGCCCCGTCGTCACCACCACTGTTGCTTCGTTAGTTTCTAAGCGCTCTGTCGAGCCGAAGGTGGAGTGTAGCGGGGGCTTGAGCGGATTAATTCTCAAGAAACGGTAACTTGTTCGGATTTTGTTACAATATCGATACTTGTTTTTTTTAGTTTTTGTGGGCAGATTTTATTTAAAAAAAATGTGAAAAAAACGATCACCCCCGCAATCACGACATCTTCAATTTCCAAATAGACGACCCTTCCTCTTCGGCCTTTTCACCTTCTGAGACTCCAATTACGACCCCCTCCCTAAATCCAAATAGGACGATACCCGTCTGAATCATACGAACGGACCATGCTTAAGAATTCTCAACTCAGTTCTCCTTAATCTTTAGTGTTGTCAACCGGCGATGGGAATGGAGACATCAGACGTCTTAAACTGTTCCATAATTTTTTTCTTGTTTTATTTCTGAAAATAACATTCATCATAAAGAAGAATATATTTTCCATAAAACACCTCTAAAACGCTAACGTAAAGCTACAAGCGTGCTTGACAGTGAAAAGCATCACATTTAAAACGAATAAAGGCAGCAACGAAACGAGTGAAAAGCTAATCTAAACGGGAAAAAAAGGCAGTCCTCAATTTTGCCTCCTCAATTCGAGCAGCACACATTGTTCACGTTACATGAATAGCCGTCCGGACACTGAGCATTCACGCAAGGACCTAAAATTAACACCATGGTACAAAACTGTAACAGCTATTCATAATATCAGGCTTTTTCTACCACTAGATTTCTGACGGAGGCTTTTGAGGGCCCTGGGTTACTTCTCAATTCCTCGCTTTCGAAAGTTCAAAATCGGTTAAAAATCCAATGTCTACTGCAGAGGTTGCGTAGTGACTTCGATTATAAGTACGACATTTCTTTTGTAGGCAGCGCCATTTGGTGACGAAATTAAAGGATAAAAGGATAAAGCATTTGCCGTTGATCAATCCCTTTTGGGATGCGGCACGCATTCTACTACTTCCATTTGTACATTCGTAGTGGCGTTTGAATGCGATGTGGCCTATACAATGACTTGCGGGGGCCAGCCGATGTACAAGTCAGTGTTTTTATCCTCCCAGACAAGTCTGGTACCAATTAACCGACCCCGGAGGGATGGAAGGCTTGGTTGGCCCGGGCGACTCACGACCCAGGATTTGATCCCCGGACCGCTCGCGTGGTGAAGCGTGCCACTTGCCACTGCACCACTTCCGCCCTGGTGACGAATTGGTTGGAAAAAATAATACGTAAGAACAAAATCACTCCGAAGGAAAGAAAAAGATGTCATCTTGTCCATTCACCAGGAGCTAAGATGCAGGGTTTTCTAGATGGTTAGTAAAAAAACAGAAAATTAAGGCCGTGTTGGAGGTCTGGGTCCCGGGATGACCCATGCTAGATGTATATGTGGAACGGATTTTTTGTGACCCGAAACTGTTATTTGCTCTTATTGTTATTGCTCATACATATGCTCCTTGAGGCAGCGACGTTTGCTCAAGATCCCCGAGATTTTGGTTAAACTGGAAAAGCAGAAGGTTATTATTACATTGGTGTGAATAAGGTCCAGAGCAGCAAGAATCATCGTGGTTCAGAATTATATAGCCCATGTATTACCGAATACTATTGTGGTACAAATACTATTGTGGTAAATGTAAAAATGGACTACTCGCTTGATGCTTGAAGACGGATTTCACGATGAAAAAGGAGCCCATTGGGAATTAGGTTAGAGATGGTGCACGAAAGAAGGAAAACCTAGCTAATGGCTCAGAGAAAATAGGACCCCTTGCCCCTTGATTTGCGCATTTATGGGACTCTCTTCGGAGCTGCCGTCTCCAACGTACCGCTCTCTCTTCTTTACGGCTAGAGACGACGAGAGAGAAGTCAATATCACGCCAGTTGCGCTGCAGGAAAGGGAAATCATTTTGCTTTGCTGCGCAGTCAGTTGGAGTCACTGTGCTATTTTCATTGATAAAATCACTGCTTCAAGATGGCAAACAGGATGAACCCAATCCGCATAACCCGCAGATAAGTGCCCCTCGTGGCTGTACGAGTATAACTATTAACTACCTTATTACTGGTCTCTTCTCGCGGGACTCCAGCCGTTCAGCGGAGAGGCAGAGCGTAGCGTTCAGATTGATGACGCCAGCACCGATGTGGGCCTCTCTTAAAGGCGTTGAAGATAAGGGTCTATCATTACGGACGAGTGGACAAGTGTATCAGAAGAAAATTTTGGAAACACTTCGCGTCGAGGCGAGAGAGCGGAAATGGAAACGAGAGAGCATAGGGACGAGCGAGACCCAGTCATCGACGCACTCACGAAGGTGGGCGTTGTTTGAAGCATGGGTGTTCATTGAAGCTCAAGCTTTAGCGCCCTTGACACCCGTTTTGGATGGCAGGAGTGTTTGAGTGGCGCACTTCTATAGTTGTGTAGTTGCGGAACGTACACAAAGATCTTATCAAGGAAGGGCTTTGAGGGGATAGAGGAAGGATCTTCTTCACCTCCTCGAAGCCCTTCCTTCCATCGGTATGGAAGTTTGAGCAACATCCAGGCGTCTCTTGGTACTATTTATCTAAGCCAAAGGCATAACGTGTGGTTCAGACCTTTTACCGCAGTTAACCTTAGTCATTCGAAACCTCCTCTTGTAGTCGCTCTTACAAAACGTAATACGGTACTTAATGGTCGGGCTCTTCTCACAGAGTTTATACCCAGAACGGATCCGCAAAATTATCAAGATACGTAATCACCAACCAATGCATCGCTGAGCTTGTGTTGCTCCCGGGAAGACGGTACTCGGCTGGCTGATGATGTACGGCGTGTAGATGACGGGGACGGAGTATGTGTATGTTGTTGTTGTGTAGCAGTTCATGTAGCATGGACCACATGCTGGAAAAAATAGTGGAAAATCACATATTTCAAAAATCCTAAGAACTGGAATAAATTAAACATTTATTCATATATTTACTTGTGGAAGCAGCGAAAACTTTGCAATGATTGGAAGGGAGACCAAGAACAGGAACAAATAAAAATAAACAAGAACGAGATCAGAGACTTAC